ACCTCTACCTCCCAGGTGCAAGTAATTCTCCTGTCTCAGCCTCCCAACTAGCTGGGATTACAGGCATGTGCCACCATGCCTGGCTAATTTTTTTTTGTATTTAGTAGAGACAGGGTTTCACCATGTTAGGCTGATCACGAACTCCTGACCTCAGGTCGTCCACCCTCCTTGGCCTCCCAAAGTGCTGGGATTACAGGTGTGTGCCATTACGCGTGGCCATCTTGTTATCACTTTAGTTGGAATTTCCCTTATTGCCATGGTCAAAATTACGGGTTATAAAAATGGTCAAAACCCATCTTATTATATATTTACTGATCATTTGTTTTTTTCTCTTTTGTGAATTGGCGTCCATATCTTAGGCCCATGGTTCTGTTGTTTCTTTGTGGTTTTGATGATTTGTTCAGTCCTTGATTTGTGATGCAGGTTGCAATTTCACACCATTGTTTGTCTTTTAAATTTGTGGTGCCTTTTCTCATACAGGACTTTGAAATTTGTAATAGAATCATATGTATCAGCCTGTTTTTTGATGACTTTGCCATCTGTGGCTTAAGAGGGCATTTCTTACCGCAAAACAAACTTACTTTTCTGCATCTCTCAGAATAACATTTTGGAGGGTTAAATCACGCAACTGTGCTTTCCTGTGGAGGGGAGTTGATTCCCCCACCTGCAAGTGGAGGCTTCCAGGGTAGGGCCCCTCTGTTCGTCCTCTCTACCTTGCATTTCCAGGGCAGCTGTATCTGGTGGGTGCTGGTCCTGACATTGCCTTTGGAGAAAGTTGCCATGGTGACCTGAGTAGAACAGCCCTGCCCTTAAACCCAGGCATGAGCTCTAGATTGGGAAGACGATCCAGGAAGGGAGAGAGAAGGCTCGTGACTCTTGCCTATCTTGTGTTAGGTGGAAGAACTCTTGGAGTCAAATGATGAGGTCATTATTCTGAATTCCTTTTTTTTTTTGAGACAAAGTTTCACTCTGTCCCCTATGACAGAGTGCTATGCCATGATCTCTGCTCACTGCAACTTCCGCCTCCCGGGTTCAAGTGATTCTCCTGCCTCAGCCTCCTGAGTAGCTGGGATTACGGGCATCCACTGCCACACCTGGCTGATTTTTGTATTTTTAGTAGAGACAGTGTTTCACCATGTTGGCCAGGCTGGTCGTGAACTCCTGACCTCAAGTGATCTGCCCGACTCTGCCTCTCAAAATGCTGGGATTACAGGCGTGAGCCACACGCCCAGCCCTAAATTTCTTATATAAAGAAATCTCTGATTCCCCTTCCCTAGGGGTATCATTGCCACTTATTTTCCTTATAAGGAAAATGAGGCCTAGCAAAGCTATATGTCTAGATTTAATGTTATGCCATGTTAAGAACCCAGCTCTAATTTCTGCTTTGAATCCATTGTAGTATTATAATATGAAGGGATGCTTTGATGACTTTCATACTACTCAGCAGACACCCATATTATTCATCCCGTGAAGGAGGTGCTGCTATCCCTGTTTTACAGATGAGAGAACTGAGCCTCAGACAGATTAGGTCCTATAACCAAGGGCATACCTCGGGTAAACAGAAGCACGGCCCTCCTCATACCACTGTTCTCTCAAAGAATTTGCAGAAGTACACAAAGCTACCAGGAAAATAAAAGCACATTCTTTTTTTCCCCCCTAAAAAAAAAAAAAAAAAAAATGCATCAACTAGCACAGGTGCTATTAGCAAACTGTCTCCATCAAGTGAATGTTTTCGTTTTTTGCTGATTTGCAATTGAAAATAAAGTACACATAATTTGGAAAACACTTAACTTTTAAGGAACACCTTGAAGGTTTCCTCCAACAGAGTTCATTAATTTAAAGTTGCTGTATTTTACTATTTGAAAATTTCACAGTTGAATGAGCTTGTGATTTCTGTTTATTGTTAACCCATACTCCTTTCAAAGTACCACTTGAACTTCAGCTGAGAATAATTTTCAGCCAGTTTGTTTTTAGTGGATGCCATCTATTTTTGCTAGTGGGAATGCTTGCTATTTCTTCCCGGAGAACTAACTATAAATTATACTTCAGAGAACTTCTAAATAAATATGTTCATGCCTCAGCACCTTAATGTGTTAATTAGCTATTAACAGTGTCAGTAAATTAGACCTGTCAAAAATAATGGCCTCCTTGACTAGGTTTTTACTACCACTTCTCCTGCTGGTGTTACTTGTAAGTTTTGCCCTCAGGAACGGTTAAAAAGCAAGGCTGTAGAGGTCTGCTTTGCAAAAGATGAACTCTGAAAGGGTTTGTTGGAATCATCTTGGCTCTGATCTGTGGGTGCTGTAAGGACTGGTAGCCTTAGAACATGGAGAATTTACAAATCTCAGGCTTACGAGCAACTCCATTACATTTATGGTTGGCAGGGGAGTTTATCTCCAGCTCTTTGCTCTCCATTTCAGAAAATCTGGCCAATGATTGTCCTTGTAAATTGCCTTCTTTGTGCATGCGCAAAATTAGCAAGTTATTGCTACTGTTCATGCTGGAGAAAGGTACCTCGCTTTCCAAATCCAGGTTCTGGTTGGCACAAAAGAAGGACCTGACCAGATCAGAATCTGCACTGCCCACTTCTCCTCTCATGCTTGTGTCAAGAGACCAAAGCGGGTCCTGCTGCCAATACCAGGGCTGAGACAGGGCATCTCAGAGTGAGAAACTTGGGACAAATGTTATGAGTGGTGATTACATAAAGTTTAAAGACTACTGTTATTTTCCCTGTGGTATTAAGAATCAAATTGGTTGGCCTGGGATTCTACCCACTGTTTATCATCTGGGAAATGCATTCCGCGTTCTCAATGACCAGACTGTCGAATTTAACCTTTGGTAAATTCCTGACAACTTGCACTTTCTGTTAACAAAGCATGGAAGATAACTAAAGGAAATGCAAATTAGGGTATGTGCTAATGTTTCCTGGGAGTATATATAAATAGATGAGTCCCCCATTTTTTGTGTATTTAATGACTGCAGTCAGAGTCAGTTATAAAACCTCAAAACCAGAGATTAAAATGAATTTCACAAAAAGAGTGAAACCACACTGTCCGAGTAGCCCTGGTGGCAAGCGATGAACCAGTCTGGGTTGTCCTCGTAGGCTCTCTTGAATCTTGTAAGGGACTGACAGGCTTCCCCTCTCTGTCTTGCCTCTACCTGCTGTCTGGGCTCTGGCTGGGGAACTTGAGGACTGAAGTTTAAAACAGAGCTGGTGCAGCATTTGGCAGTGGAGACCCAAATAGCCCTGCGGCACAATGTGTGCTGTGAAAGAAGCCTTCATTATCCTGTTTTCCTAAAAATAAGTTTGTTTTGCTGTTTTTGATAGCCGCGGTGTTAGTGAAATTGTTTTTTGTATGGAAATAGTTCACACTACACAATAGAAGGTGACTGTCCTTGCAGTCTGCATCTGTGGCAGTCTAAAGTGTTTACAATTAAGTAGAGCAGCTCTTAAAAAACGGGTCCAAGGAATAGGATTAAAACTTCAATTTCATTCTTTTCCAAAGAAACAGACTGGGGCCAGGTGCGGTGGCTCATGCCTCTAATCCCAGCATTTTGGGAGGCTGAGGCAAGAGGATCACTTGAAGCCAGGAATTTGAGACTAATCTGGGCATTATAGCGAGACCCTGTCTCTAGAAAAAAAATTAAAAATTAGCCACAGGTGGTGGCAAGCGCCTATGGTTTCAGCTACTCAGAAGGCTAAGGCAGGAGGATCTCTTGAACCCAGGAATTGGAGGCTGCAGTGAGCTATGATGATGCCACTGCACTCCAGCCTGGGTGACAAAAGTGAGATCTTGTCTTAAAAAAAAAAAAGAAAAGAAAAAGAAGAAACTGAACTGGAGGCCACTAGTATGTACTCCCTAAATTCATGATTATCGTGATCTTGGAATTATTATTTATTGTGGCTTTGCTTGAACACCAATAATAAATGACTCGTCATATATTGGCACATGAGAGGTTTTTTCCAGTTAAAAAGTTTAATTCCACATGTAAATCTGATGTAGGTATATATGTTCATTTGCTTAGCAAATATTTACTTACACCCAGTATGTGCTACTATCACTATTTTAGATTGAAATATGGCATTGTTTCAGGCTGAAATGAAAATGACTTATGTGGTAAAAGCTTATTAGTTTAAACCCTGTTAATGTGAAAACCTGGACAAAAGCCACACTAAAGTTTACCCTGTACCGTGGCTGTGCAAATAAAAATACGTGACTAAGAAAAAGAATAACACAGGAAGGATGAACAAACGAACTCACAGAACATACTTTTTAGGGTACTTTAAAGGCATTCATTTATAGGAGAACAGTTGACTTAATCACTATAAATGACTCTTCTACAAAATAGTGCTTTTAAAAACCCAGTTTTATTATATATGCCCTGAAAATAATAGTACTTCACTAAATTCCCTTAGACCCCCCCCTCCATGGTTCATGATGATATTCCAGTTAGTCTCCTATTAATAACCTTCCACTAATATTGGAAGGTTTGACCCTTTGGAGCTCTTTCTGCTGCCCAGTTATAAATCTTATCATTTGATAATGTCAAAACCATTAAAACACATTTTTAAGGTCCAATGAGCGGAGGAGATACAGAGTTGTGATGGTGGCAGATGATGTTTTTTCACAGTACAGGGCAATGTTATATGGAACTTGTAGTCTGATGTGGGATGGAGTCCATGTCTGCTACTTTCTAACTCACCTCTGGTAAGTCACATAACCTTTGTGTGCCTCAGTTTCCTCATCAGTGCATATGGAAATAACACTCAGAGATCTGTCCTGAGGATTCCGCATAAACCGCACTTCACAGTGTGTGACCTAGAATAGGCACTCCCTGTAGATTAACTTGCTTTCCTTTCTTGCTTGTCTTGCCACATGTTTTCACCATTACAGTTATCTTTTTGGAAAACAAACATCCAGAATGACAATGTAAAATGAGGATTTCTCCCTGGACAGCCACATGCTTTATGTAACGTAAATGACCTACTCTAATTGCAGGTTATATCCAGGCATGTAGAGGACTTATGATCGCTGCTGTCAGCCTGGGCTTCTTTGGTTCCATATTTGCACTCTTTGGCATGAAGTGTACCAAAGTCGGAGGCTCCGATAAAGCCAAAGCTAAAATTGCTTGTTTGGCTGGGATTGTCTTCATACTGTCAGGTAAATAGTAACTTTCTTCCAAGCATGGTAATTGATGATGTGAATGAAATCACACTAACCATAGTGCTTTCCCTCTGATACTTGTTAGGGCTGTGCTCCATGACCGGCTGTTCCCTATATGCAAACAAAATCACGACGGAATTCTTTGATCCTCTCTTTGTTGAGCAAAAGTAAGTACTCCTCTCCGTCTGTTTCCAGCTCACAGGAAATGTATATAAATTAATATTCTCAACCAAGAGACATGAATTTCCTACATGACTTTTGAAAGTAAGACATACTGATAAATGGTAACCGATGACATCATTCAAGGTTAATTGTGTTATATGCCACATACACAAAACATACATTTAATTACTTTGCTAGTGTTGCAGTGTCTTGTCTCTAAACAGTTCAAGGCATCAAATTTAGAACTATAAACTTCATCGTCGGCTGTACATCATGAAACTGAGGTCAAGTAGAGGAAAAGTGAAAGGTGTCAGATGGGGAGGAAAGAATGATGCGGCGTGCGAATAGAAAATTAAAACTTGTCTCGATTGCTGTCCACTCAAAATGATATTTGCCAGAAGATAGTTTCTGGGTCTTTTAAATTTGCTGTATTAACTACTGTCTTAACAAGCTCCACCTAATAAGCCTTTATAAAGAAACTGTACATGATGCGAGGTTTTTGAAAAATGTTGTAGGAGCACGGCACCTTTACCCAAATGTGGTTGGTTGGTCTTGCAGATGAATGCTTTGGAATTAACAGATCAGTTTGCTTGTTGGTGTTGTTTTTAAACTGTGGGCTATTGCTTTTTATAGTTTCCCTAAGCTTATTTCTTTGGATTGGGAAAACCCCAGGGATACCAAATCAGAATTAATATATTAAATATTTTGTCTTGCCTAAGAGTATATCTCACATCCCTCTTTAGAAAGCCTCACATATATATATGTGTGTGTGTATTGCTATCAATGAGGCTGGTAATTTTATTTTAGACTTCAGGTCAAATTTTATAGAATTTTTAAGGAGTATATTACTGAAATAGCTGGTCAGCTGGGCTTTACTTTTTTTCTAGTGGTTTTAGGAATCTTCAGGAAATTGATTTTCTAGTTCTGTCTTAAGTGTATCTTATGCATAAATAGTAAATGCTTATATCATGAAATATAATGAAAATAATAGCTAGTGCCTGTTGAGTCTCCACCAGGAGCCAAGCAGAGCACTGCAAATATTATTTTATTATGTTATTTTATTTTATTCTTAAAACAACCTTATAACCTTATTAAATAGGTCCTCTTGGCACTCTTTCTTTAAATTGAGGAAAGAGGCCAAGTAATGTGTTCAAGGGAACTTGGATCAAACTAATAGGCTGATTGAACTGTGATTCAAACCAGGCAGTTGAACTTCAGAACACTGGCTCCTAAAATGCATGATTTATAATATCTACTATTTTGTAATTTTTGTGACAATATTCTATATATACTGTTCATCAACTTTCATTCTTTTTTTTTTTTAAAAAGAGATAGGGCCTCTTTCTGTCACTCAGGCTGGAGTGCAGTGGTGTGATCATAGTTCACTGCAGCCTTGCACTCCTGCGCTCAAGTGATCCTCCCACCTCGGCCTCCCGAGTAGCTGGGACATGTGTGTGCCACCACAACTGGAAACTTTTTTTTTTTTTTTTTTTTTTTTGAGATGGAGTTATTGCTGTTGTTGCCCAAGCTGGAGTGCA